AGCACCAACGAGTCTTCAACGGTATATTCTCTTGTGCCCATTTCCAGTTGTACTTGTCTGAGTGCAGTCAACAAAATTGCTATGGTTTTTTCAGCCAGTACATGGTCGTTAGATTGTTGAACATCTAACTCAAATCCAACCTCCGGTGTCACAGCTGCGGTAATCCATCCGTATTCTCGTTTGGCATCAACCAAATCGGCAAAAAGGGAATCTCCAATATACAACACGTTGGAATTCATACTCAGCGGGCCCATCGATTCGACACTATCTCCGCCAACGTTCCAATCCATCAGTTTCGTCAGTTCGCGAAGGCATCCTTCGGTGTATACCTTGCCGGTTTCAAGTTTTTCTACTTTTTGAAATCGTACTCGATTTGTCTCAGTATTAACTTCACGAAATGGACGTCGAGTTTCGGTGTAGAAAGCTGGTTTGCCTGCACTAACAATAACCGCATCCCAAATATCTATCCATTCCTCCCCTAAAACAAATTTCATTCCTGCATCAACATACCAAAAAGGAGAATTACTATTGAATATTATTTTGTGGGAGATGAGAAAACGAAATAAACGTGAATGTTGTTAGTTTTGTTGTTCGTTTGGGGAATTGGGTACCAAAAACACAGGTGATGCCTTCTGTTTTCCAAAAAACCTTACCTAGCAAATATGAGACGCTTTCCAGAGTCTTTCAGATTTCCCAAAACGTCTTTCAAATGGGGCGTTGGGTCAAAATATTTTTCTGGGTTGTCAGCAACTATGCGATGAAAGTCTCCGGAAATGTGCGTATCACGAATCGCTCCAAGAATGTCGGTTACTACGTTCGAGGAGCAAAAGTCAATGTCGTTATCTTTGAAGTATTGGATCGTATCGGCAATGAGGCAGCATTCTGCCATACTGAATAGGTCGTTCAATGGCTTCAATCGGGCTTTCCGTTCTCTTGGGTTGAGTCCTCGCTTTCCACGGTATTCCTCGAAAATGCGAGATGTAGAGACCTTTTCTCGTCCCTCCCAGGCAACAGCAACTTTGTGCGTGTAGGAAAGATGGCAGATCCAACCAGTATCCTTGTCCACAGCAAGCCCTCTTATACTAAAGAAGGCGTCATAGTTTAGACCACACRTCAGCATTTCCCTCGGATAATGCCGATCGTTTACCAACCGATTGAGTGCCATCGAGTACAAAAGAGTTAATAGTTCTTCGGTGTAATGCACAAGTGTATAATCATAGTCAAATCCAACAGTGTCAATGTTTCCTAAATCAACATAAGTATTCGCATAGATCGAATCGTGAGAGCTGTCCATGGGGGACATAGAACGTTTTGTTGTCTTCGGGTCAACGGCTTTTGAATCTCGGTGTAGATTCTGAACCAAAGCCTCCGTCTCTATCAGAACATCATTTACCACATCTTTCGAATGTCGCGGGAAGCTCAACATTGCTGAAGGTAGAGAGAGAGGTGATTCAGAATCGTCGATATCATCAAAAATGTTTTCGTTCGAGATGTCAACTTCGAGAGAGGAGGCATGAAGGATATCGGCAGATGTCGTCACCGCATCATTATAGAATCTTTGCCTAATTGTTTGTTGTTGTTTGAAAGATTTTGCTGGGAATTGAACGAATGCTCTTGATGAAGAAAACAGAGACGTGACTAGAAGTTGACGGATGGCCTTCATCTTTACCGCAGTTGCTTCTTGTATTTTAGCGCCGAATAATGCAGATTGTGTCTTTGTGTTAATGGTCAATAATCAATAATTTCCTTCGAATTCTGCTGAGCTGAAGAATTCTGTCCCAGTTGGAGACCCTTCTTGTGAAAAAATGGTGGGTACTCGTACACGATAACGCTGTCCGATGTTTCTTTCCGTACTAAACAATAACGTACTGTATGTACCGTACTGTACTGTATTCTGCTGGCAGAATCTACCGTAGGGTACCGCTACGCGCGTAGCTTCGAAGGTTGTACTACTCGATCGTCGTTCCCCTTTTCAATCATACCATAGACTGTGAGCCTCCCAAATCACGAGTAGATAGTGAATAAGCTCACTCTTTATTGTAAACACGTATTCATACGACACTAAGGAGTATATCACTATTTCACAGGTTATGAGCAACAACAACAGACTCACCTCGAGTGCTCATCAGCCTAATATCCACAAAGACTGTTGTATTGAGTAGACTGATTCACTACTCCATCCCCTTCGATTCTGGAGCATCGCCAACAGCTTCACGGATCGAAGACATTTTCATCGGAATTTTCAGTGCCGAAAATTCCGACCAAAATCCAGCAGTATTAAACCACGTAGCTYCCCACRATACCCTGGATTCCAGAACCCTGGTGTCACCGAACACCAAGACAACCATAACAACAATAGACGATCGTATCCCTCACAAATCTATGGTTAACAATGCCTTATCCAACCACCAAGCAAAAGAAGAAGAGGACACCCAGACATGGCACTACATTGCCACGCCAGTCTGCAAAATCGCAGATTGGAAGATACCTCGTAAGAACCCCACCAAAACAATCGGAAAATCCGCGATTACAACTAACTGGTTACGATGGCAATATCCAACGAGAAATACGAGCCATACAGTTAGTCTTCCCCGTAAGCTCCGACCCGAGTATTTATGACTCCTCTCTATTCCCATTCAAGCCCCGTTATCCACCCACGCCAATCCAATATTCGTCACTTCTCAACGTTATCCATACCACATCGTTGAAAGACACTGATAAGATTGTGGCATTGGGGGAGACCTTGAAGGAACTTCTTCACCACAACCATTTTCGAATCCAACCTACCAACACTCCCCCACTGGATAGGTACCTTTACAGTGCAGCACTCCTTGCCTACATGGATGAACTACTACCTCCTAACAAGGACACACCCCCGGTGGAAATCACGACTCGCAGACAATCCAAACCACCGGCACACCTCATCCCGAGCCCGGACCCACCGTCAAGTGAAGAACTCCAACGACAACACCCACTATTGAGGACCCAAGCAGCTGAGGAGGATGACACCTCCACAAATTCCTTGGATGTCAATGAAATAGCACCAAAGGATCTCCAAAAACAATTTGCAAGGGAGCGTCATCGTGCCAGTACTGAAAATACACCCACATCAGGTACTGGAGACCACGACAGCACCAAAAACAAGGACCCTGCAACAGCYGACGACTCATCTTCAACGATGACTAACAGACTGGCAACCATGGACAAAACCTACCAAGGCATAGATAATGAACYACAATCCCTGAAAGATAGTCTTGAGTCTACTCCAACGGATCATCCACAACGTGGTACARACACTCCCCGAAGCYTCGCCACTATGGATGCCCGTATTCGATCCTTACAACAAAACTTCGATACCACTATCCAAGCTACGAATGCTGAGCTTAACGCAACGCGTACGGAGCTCCTCACCACTACCACAGCCCTTAAACAGGCACAGGAAGCCGTTCAAACCCTTCAGGAACAACTCAATTCCCTCTCACGGGCCGACAACCTTGAACATGAMATAGAGGCAGCTGCCAACACCGCATGGGCACTTGATCAACGTACATCCAAAGCATCCTCTGTCTTGGAGACCATCATTAACGAAACCATCCACTTAAAGCAACTCCGGGATGAAGCCAGTAGTATCACCACCAAAACACCCACAGCTGTTACTGCTGATATGACACGTCAACTCCAAACACTATTGGATGACTGCACCAGAACACTGAACCAGAAAGGACAGGACATTGAAAAACAGATCACAGCCGCGGTGCTTGAACAAACAAGAGCCATGGAAGAAACGTTTGACCAAACCATTCAAAACCTTATACAGAACAAACTGGAACATAAAAACCAAATAGTTCAAAGCCTCAAGGATACAGTCATCGCTCAAGCAAAGCGTGAAATTACATCCCAAGCAAAAGAAACAATACAACAGGTTACAACCGACCTTACCCAGACCCGCCACACTATGCAACAGGTGTACAACAACCACATCGCGAAACTATCCTCCCATAAGCAGACCATCACTGCYGAACTGGACAAAACAATTGCTACAGCTCACGAGGACATCGATATCGCCAAATCCATCGCCGCCTCGGATATTGAACRAACTATAACTCATCACATAACCACTGATAAGTCCATTACAGACACGATATCCACACAGATCTCAACATCACTCTCCAATTTGGTAACCTCTCCGGATTTYCGGCGCAACATAGATAACACCATTCACTCCTATGTCACCACGTCACCAGCCTTAAAAGACCTCATCAAATACCAGGTTMATGACCACCTTGACCACCACAMCGCAACGACCGAGTGTGATAGAATGGACAGTTGCTCRGGGAATAGCCGCACAGGAAACCCATTGCCAACACAAGCATCTGATGCATCCCACAACCAACGACCATCTCGATGGRGATCACGGGCACGGAACCCAACTACGACAGAACCGCAGGGCGAGAGTGACAGAAAATTTGATGAGTATATGAATCACAAACATGACCTCATGATGGAAAATTCCATTCATCACCAGAACCACCGCATTAGCAAAGCACTACATGCCATGGACTTTAAAGATCTGGACCACCATCTCATCCCCACCACGAACAGATATCTTACCTCGTCCGAATTCTCGGAACTCTACACCGAATTCCATACAATGMTGTCCTTCGAGAGCCTTCCTATTGCATCACTTGAAAACCTCCCGCGATGGGAATCTTGCCTACCACCTGACCATAAGGAAACCGATGACAATATCCAAAAGATTAGTACATACATATACCGTCGCCTCACCCGATTGCTGCCCACTAAGGACAACTCTCTCCTGAGGGGCCTCATTGCTCCATACTCCATCAACAACAGGGGATACGATGCATTGTATGCTCTTGCACGTCACTCCCTGGACTACCTCAAACCCATTCAAAATGGATGGGGACCGACATGGACCAAAGAGGATGATCCGGGTACATATGTGGGCAAACTCCTAGACCATGTCCGCTCTTGCAAGCTGGGCCATAAACACACATACACGGAATTGGACCAATGCCATGAACTCATCTACCAGACGATGACGCACTATAATTATGCCGCTGGTTGCTGTCTCCTGGTTCAGCTGGACAATCATCGCCGGCTCACTCCGGACGCACGCAACAAACCAGTCCCTGCTCATCTCAAATTAACAACAATGGTCAATTTTATTATTGACACTCCGGATGTACACCGGAAGACAATGGGACCCACTCCACCAGTGGTCACCAAAGTCGTGGACAATACCAGACGCCGTTTTGAATACAAGAACAAGGTGCAATGTGATTGCTGCCACTTATATGGCCACAATGTTGGGGATCAAATCTGTCGGTTTGGAGCTCAACTCCACTTCGCACAACAATATGCCAAGGCTAAACCAGACGAATTCCGCACCAACGCAATCAAACATAACAATATGAACACCACGAATGTGGTCCATCATTTTGAACACAACCTCAATGGACGATCTGTTACGGAGGAAGAACATGAAAGCGAACGAGAGGAACTAGCACACCTCTTTACTGTGGTTCCTATCGACCCAGATGAATAGGATACACGCCGTGTCTTTAGCGAGGCACGGCCTCCCCTATCTACAGACAAGAAGGGCTTCCCTACTCCCCGCTCTCAGCCACATGACAATGACATATTCACTCACAAACCACCGACACCTACGAACGATCCTCCMCCACTCACGAACTCACCATTGYCACCAACGAACTACGGGCCTCAACAGAGCAAGATAATGCGATTCCTTAGGAACAGTACTGATACTGGACAACAAGCTCCTATTCCTGGGGGACAAGCTAAAACCGCAAGACCTGATCCTCCCGTACACAACATGCCTACAGCTCACAGCACCAGTACTGAACCCACGCAGAAACACCATACTGATCCTCCACCGCGCTCCGTTCAATCCCGCGACCGACTCCGTTCCAGTACATCCATCGTACACGATAGTACCAAACACACACAACCAACACCACACACACATAAATACACCCTTGCGGAGGCATTAGACGAGTCCATATGTATGCAATGCCATGATAACCAACACATAACGGATAGCCATAACAGCCAACACACCACGGACAGCTCAAACGATCATCTCCATAAATATCCTCATGGGAATGACCTTACGCCCTTCACTCTCCACAACGATTCCCTTGCGTCCGAGTACAATACAGGGAAACCAGCCCTCCGGATGACACATCACACAYATAGGCGCAGGATGAAGAACCACATACAGGTTTTCACTAAAGACTCCACCCAGAGCYTTAAGACACTTACACAGCCGAATTCTCCAACGCTTCAAACAGACACAGGCGCTAATATATCTGCCACGAATCAACTCGAATTCCTACATAACTATAAGCCATACCCAATCCCAGAACCGGTTGGGGTTTTCTCAGCGGATGACACGCTCGAAACTACCTTCAATGCACATGGTGAGGGCTTTATGAAAATCATCTCCGACCAAGGCCATGTAATGAGCTGGCACAYGCTGTATACACCACAGTCCACTGGGACAGTTATATCCCCGGATCACTACCAGAGAACACGTAACTTCTACGCGTTTCAACAGGAAGGATACTTAAACAACAAGGGGATCATTAGATTCATAAACAAGCTCAACACTACAGTTGAATCAATCCAAACTGCTCGGGACAATGGCCTCTGGTACTCGACAAACGCTATCCTCCTTCGCAACGCCCTCGAAAATGAGCACGTTGTCAAGGAGCTCCAACGTTATCGTCATCAAATGAATCAGGTAAGGAAGATCCCTAGTCACACTCAATCGCAACCGGAGCTGCGGACCAAAACCTGGTCCTCAGGCCTGTCTGCGGCCATGAAGAACCTCGAACTTTGGCATCAAAGATACGGTCACGTATCCCCCTCCACACTAGTCAAAACACAAAAAGTTGTCGATGGGATTCCCCCCCTTCCCACCAACACTCCATTTTTCAGATGCCCATTCTGCGAAAAGAGTAAAATGACAAAATATAGTGGTCGTAAAACAGACAGCAAGGAACAATTCATCCCAATGCAGTCACTCCATATGGACCTGTCATTTGTTAGCGGTCCACCRAACCTACAGGGAGTACTACAGCATAATGCGAAAGCGCTCCCTACCCTTAAAAAGAGTCGTCAGGGCCACATTGGCTTCCTTACTATTATCGATGCGGCCACACGAGCACTATGGACATTCCCCGTTAAAAACAAGGAACCTCCACTTAAAATCATTGACCGCTTCCTCACTAAACATGGCATCCGCAATACTGACCCCCGTAAAGCGTTTATCACCACCTCTAAAGATGGCTACCTTGCCCGATCAAGAACCTTCTCCAATACAGCCAGGGAACACCRATACAACATCACCCCTAAGGACAGGGATTACTATCTCAACCTCCTTCCCGACCATCTCCAATGCACGATCATGACAGATGGTGGCGGAGAACTAGCGAACTCCACTCAATTTCAACGCACAGTGGATAATCATGGATACACTTCGATCACCACTGCAGCGGACGCATCATCACAGAATGGGATGGCTGAAAGACCGCACCGGACTCTCAAGGAACGCATCCGCTGTCTCCTCTATGCAGCAGGCCTCGGTACTGAATACTGGACGGACGCACTCCTTCATGCCACTTGGTTGTACAATAGGACCTACCATAGTGCTATTGACATGACACCACTCCAGCTGTATACAGGCCAAATCCCATTGGTAGACAAYCTCATCACCTTTGGCTCCAAAATTACAGCAAAGCGCCCAGGCACAAGACCTACCACCACAAACCCTTGGGCATATGACGGCATCTTCCTAGGCTATGGTCCCACCACTGATAACATCAAATACTTTGATATTCACACTGGTACTGATAAAATAGCTCGCCACAACTCCAAAGATGAACTCCAATATGGTGATGACCCAACCAACAGATCCCCGGCTGCCGCACACCTCCTGGAGACCTTCACGGAGGGGTCCCACACTGATCACAGCACCAACACCAAGCCGGAACAGGTTCAACTGACCTTTAAAGACCCTCGACAGCGAAATCCGGATAACATCATTGAGGAAATCCTCCAGGATACACCTCAACCATATACAGCAGCCGCGGCGGCAAAGGTTCGAGCACGCATACACCGCACCAAATTTGAACGCCCAAATATTGCAGCTCTCATCCCCGAGCTGGAAACACTGGATATATCCACTAATATRTATGCAAAGGAGATCTCCCACACACTCCCRCTGAAAAACACCAACACTATTCACCCCACCATGGGCTTTATTGTCAGCAGCCACCCCGATATCCGTGATGCTGTTGAGCTTACTTCAATTCAGGTTGGGACAATTGCCCACACTCGAATCCGAGGTTGGAAGAGACGTCTCCGGGGTACACTTATTACATCTGTGGATGATAAGCCAATCACCTGTCGACAGGACATAATTGATGCCATTCAACAGGCAAAGACCTCCCATYGCACATCAGTGAAATTTACCTTTGGAACACTGATAGGCTTTGCCCTCAATGGCGACGGTATTCCTACACTCCAAGCAGATCAATTAAATGTTATTGCCCATCATCTTCATGCTCTTAACCATAACCAAGACCTATGGCCGAATAAACAGGACTGGCCAACCCCAATAGATGCCCCTGAGACTRTCCTGGAACAAATCCAAGTATCAAAGCTCACGCGCCGAAAACTCATGTCCACAGACAAATGGGAACAATTCCTCCAATCAGAATGGAAACAATTGAATAGATATCACAAAGTTGGTATGTTTGGGGATCCTATTACCGCAACCACAGATATGACAGTTCTCCCCTGGGTCTGGACGTATATTGAAAAGGAAAACCCACTCACKGGGGCTAATGAACCAAAATCCAGAGGCACGTGTAAYGGAGGAAAACGGTATGGAAAAGCCATCACATTGGCAGAAACATATGCAGCCTGCGTTGAACAGCCTATACACAGACTCACATGGGCCCTTGCGGCAGCATTAAACCTAATATGTGTCGGATACGATGTAGGYAATGCATTTGCTGAGGCACCAGCACCCAAATCGCCATTTTACATGCAAGTTGATGAGCCCTTTCGCCAATGGTGGACTGAATGCCTCCATAAAGACCCTATTGAACCAGGACARGTGATACCCATTCAAAAAGCCCTACAGGGCCATCCAGAATCACCGCGACTATGGGATAAGTATATATCCTCCATCCTTATCAAAGATCTTGGCTTTAAACCCACTACTCACRAACCATGCCTTTATTATAAACATGATCACACTGGACTTACTCTAATTCTCCGGCAAGTGGATGATTTTCTCATAGCCAATGAGGATGAATCAGTATGTGACACCATTAGAGGCCTCATTCAGGACAGAATGACTAACCCACTGAACATACTTGGAACCATAAGAAAATTTAACGGCATACATGTGGATCAGACTAAACACTTTAACCATCTCCACTGCAGCAGTTATATTGAAAAGATAGCGGAACACCATGGTTGGACAGCTATTACRACCAAAAGAACAACTCGATCTYGTCCCACTCCAATGAAAGAAGCCTCAGCATATCAGAAACAACTCCAACTATCAACAGGACCGACAGACCCATTGGAAGCACTTAAGCTCCAGCAATCCGAAGGATTTAATTACCGGCAATGTATCGGGGAACTGATCTATGCTCTCACTATCTGCAGGATAGATATATCGATAGCAGTTATCACCTTAAGCCAACACTCACACTCCCCCGCGAAAATACACTATGCCGCGATAAAGGCCCTCTTCCTTTACCTCCTTGCAACCAAAAGGGAGGGACTTACTTACTGGAGACCAGAACCAAGGATGGACCTACCGGAGTATCCATTCCCAACACCCCATTCAGACCCTATCCGCTTAACTAAATTTTATCAATCCCCAGACCCGTTACAGATTCATGGTGCCTGTGACACCACATGGGCCTCAGATAGGCTCCAGCGAMGATCCATGGGTGGTATCATCATGATGATGGCCGGAGCAGCAGTATACTATAGAACACGCCTTCAACCAACTATAGCCCAAAGCTCCACTGAGGCAGAATTCACCAACATGRCAGATGCTGGTAAAGCAGCCCTGTATCTCAGATGGATCCTTGATGAATTGCAACTAGCACAAACTACTCCAACCCCAATCCTAGCAGATAACCATGGTGCTGTCCGAATGGCAAACGCACACCAACCAACACGGCGAACGAGACACGTTGAAATGAAACACTTTGTTATCCTTCAATGGACTGATGATGAACACATTAACTTTGTGGAAACTAAATCTGATGAGAACTACAGCGATTCACTAAGCAAACCCACTGGTCGAACCAAATTCATGGAACATACGGATATTTTCATGGGACGGATTCCACCAGTCTATACATACCATTCACTGTCGTCAACCACACAACACCCCTCGATTATTGAGGATACAGCTGAGTTATCAGTTAACTCTATGCAAAAACTCAATATACATCACCTCGAAAGACACGCCARATCATCTTGCTCCACTTGCAATCTAGATCCTCTACGTGATTTACTACGTAGTACTCGTAGTAAATTTGACTCATTTGAGTCTCTAGATTCTGCAAGTGCGGGGTGGTGTGAGCCTCCCAAATCACGAGTAGATAGTGAATAAGCTCACTCTTTATTGTAAACACGTATTCATACGACACTAAGGAGTATATCACTATTTCACATAGACCATTACCGTCTATCTTAATTGCCGTCACCCGTCTTTCCGCAATTAGATTCACGTGGGATGATTGCTGATTACGAGAACCGTACCGTACAGTACTACTACCCTACGGGACAGTACAGTATCGTTTTGAAAGATGATGTTTTGAGACTACCTCCGTACTACCGGTATGATTCATTAGATTCGATATGATTCACTCACTTTTCGAGATTCTTCACAGTTGGCCATGTGTACCGTAGTATGCTAACTACTTTAAGGACTTAAGTCGGGTACGTACGTAGTACCAAATTTTTGCAACCGATGTTGCAAAACGGTCGAAGGAGTCAATCAGTACTTAAAATACGTAGGGTTTTACGTAGGCTATAACACGTCACTTAGCCCCACTCCATTTACCACCGTACTTACCTCCCCTACATGAATTCTGGTAGGATTTCTACTGTGCAACCGTATTGGCTTTTCTGCTGTGGTCGCATCCGTACCTCTTTTGGTTGCCTAACACAGAGCAATTTACACTGAGTATGCAACCATTTTGCAACTCCTTTTTGCCTCGTCACGAGAGGTGCATTTTTTGCTCACTTTTTGCTCACAAAATCAACTCTCGCAGTATCGCATACGAGTACCAGGGGTTCAAGCAAAACCCCAAGCAGCAAGAAGAACAAGCAAATACTACTGTAAGTATCGAAAAACAGCAGCACAGCACAGCACACCAGCACACCAGCACAAACACCAGTAGCACCACAACGCAGCCCCCTGACTCACAAGAGGTGCATTTTTTGCTCACAAAATAACAGACGAGTATCGCATACGATACAAGTATCGCGGCATACTACGAGTAGTACTACCGGTTCAAGCAAAACCCCAAAACAGCAGCAGCTGCATTACTACTACTACTACCTAGTACTACTAGTACTAATGGTAACCGCACAAGCGCAAGAACAAGAAGAACGCAACAACAGGCGTAGTACTCGCTGGCGTCCCCGTAAACGCAGGGGGGCCACTGTAACGCCTCCACGAGACGTGAACCAGCCAGAGCAATGGGATAGATACCGTAAGATTCTATTGGAGCTAATGGATCATGTACATGGAAGACTGGATGAAGGAGGCGACAATGATAATCGATTTCCAAATGATACCGAATTCACTGAAGAGCAGTTGAGTATTCTAACACCGGATCATATTTACAAGTTTTTTGCAAAGAAAGTCTTTGGGAGGGAGGATCCTGGNCTCTTGAGTTCGATCAATGCAATGCTACCGTATCGTATCGTACTGTGCGTACTGTACGTAACTGCCTCCATAGCTCGCCGTACATTGCCGTACGAAACAGAACGGAACAGAACTTGAAACATGATTCGCTGATTTCGTTTGATTCGTAACCTCAGAGTTTGGTAGATTGAAATCTGAAATCTTTTGATGATTTTATTTTTTCTCTAACTTCTCCCTCTTCGCAAGACAACAACCAAGAGCCCTATATCGCTCTTTGTAACACCGGTCATGTTTCTTCCATCTACCGTCACCGTAGTAAAGCGTCGCAGCTACGTTACTCTTGGTAGACTCTCCGCCGCTTGGTCACCCGTGAGAAATAGCCGGGGAGGACGACTGGCGGCAGCAACAGAAAGCCTAGCACACCCAGGAAAACGAGCCATGGGGACAACGATCGTCGAAGGCGTTGACTTCGATACAATCGCCCGTGAATGGCGTTGCAAATGGTCAGCAGAAAACGACAAGCAAAGTCTCGCCGAACTCCAAAAAATCCTCAACGAAGCCAAAGCCGAGATCAAGGCCGTTAAAGGCGTCAAGAGCGTGCAGCGTGTTGTTTGCGGCGGGTGCCTGGATTTCAAGGTGGTCGTAGCGCTGGAGGACTCGAAGTTTGGCGAATGGGAGGAATCGGGTTTTGCACMCGAGGAATCCTTTTTGGAAAAGATCAAGAAGATCGATGGCGTATCTGTAGTTGAGACGCAGACCTACACCTTGATGCCTGTCGAGTTTTAGGCTTCAGATGGCTTGGTGATGGATCAGGCTTTCAAGAATCTTATCTAAAAGAATGTTGCTGACCCGAGCAAGTTCGTTTCTACGACACAGAAAAACCACTTACCTTGGTCAGGATACCAGAGTAGAAATTTCGAAAGCACCTGAATGTTTATCTCAAGATAGAGACAACAGACAATATATGCTTTAAAATCAGGAAAAAAGAAAAATAGAATTATCTCGAATAGCTCAAAATGTGGTATAATATGATGGTGGATGACTGGCACGTTGCAATTCAGGAACTTCTATGAACTTGAACTATCTTGATCCGTTGTCTTTATCGCGAGGGGTCTTTGTTGGAATCATCATCCTTGGCGGGTTCCCATAAAACGCGATTCACAACTAATGGTGTCCATGATTTGCTTTCGGTGCCTCCTGYCCTGCTGTCCCCGTTGCTCGTCTYTTGTTGGTTTTGATAAATACTGAAAGAACAATATTTCGCGACTCCGTGCTCCTGCCACGAATTCCCCGTCAGATTTTCGTAGAGGTGAGTCACCGGACCTCCATGCGAGACCAGAACAATTGTCCTCCCTCTTTCGTTGGCAGCCAATAAATTCATTGTTTTTGACATGCGATCGCGTTGGATGYGAAACGACTCTAGTTTTGGTGGATCCTCTGCCAGAGAATAGTCTCCTCCGATACTCGTCCGAGATTGGTATTCTTGGTCCATCAGTCCATCCAATACTCGGTGCGTATCGGCCGTGCTATCTTTCCAGTTCAAAAGCGTATCGGCCGTGCTATCTTTCCAGTTCAAAAGCGTTTCGGCCGGCTGCAGCGCTCGGGGGTCCACTTCGAACTGATTCAATGGAACTTCCTTCTTGTATCCCCATGTCCCATCGGCTCCCGGAAGAGACCAAGACCTGAACCAGTTTTCGTTCATGCTTTCACTAAGACCGAGCTCCACCCTTACTTTCAGACTAGACTTCGCCGTGCCGTTTCCGTCCGAACCCGAGTTGTTCTCGTCGGTGATGACGACAGAGGACATCCCCCCGATAATGCCGGCGGCAGTTTGGCGACATCTTAGAAAGGGCGACGTGTACACGGCAGCGATAGGAGCCATTCTCATCTCAGGAAGTATCTTCTCCTTAAGAGCTGTTCCTAATGCCCGGGCCATTTCCACTCCCTCATCCGTAAGAGGTGGATTCCAGGGTTGTTCGGGATTGGCCTGGCACCAGTTTTTCCCCTGTGCACGCTGCACGTAATCGAGCCGCTCGCCGTGACGAATGACAACCACTGTTGTTGGTCGGAAACCGTCGTCCTGAGTCTTATTTACAGTCTTGGTGTCCATTTTCGCTCTGCCAATTCTAATATTGTCGCTGATCGTTTTCTTCTATTGTTCGGATGGATTCTTCGGAGATTATCACGGTTTCTAGTACGAGCACCTGCTCCTACGAGTTTAGCTCGGAATTGTACTGACGGCTTGAATTCTGGATTGATGCCTCGGCCCAGATGCTTCGAGTCCTTGATGAGTCTGGACTGGGCCCGAGTTTTCATTTTTATTCGATAGAACGATACCGTTGGGTACAGTACCGAACTTACATAGTGGACCAACAGTCTATCGTAGGTACAGGGAATAATTRAATGTATCGTATCTATGTAACATATGTTACAGTATCATATTAATACTACTATTTCTTTTGAAAACAAAGAAAGTGAACGGCGGGATGATCCTTGGAAACGAAGAAAAATACTACTTAATTCTTATTATAAATGATTTTCTCATAAATCTTTTTGGCGTTGCGCGCCAAATTCTTCGCATCAAGCCAAAATTTTACTTAACAAGACTATTTTTCAAGATCTACCGTATCGTACTCGATCACCTCTATTATTTGCTGTAATCGTACGAGTAYTCGAATTCCACAATCAGAAAAAAGCTCTCAGTTTATCGACAGGTCCGAAAGTCAACCCAAACGAAGACTCTTCGTATAAAGTTTGAGAAAAGACAGCACTATGACAGAAGAATTATATAAGGCATCAACTCGTTCGATCCACGTCCCCAGTAGCGACAGCAGTGACGACGAGAGCAGCAGTGMCGACGAGAGCAGCAGTGAGAGTAGTGTCAGTGTAGAGAATACCCATGACGAAGTCACCGAAACTAAGAAAGATATTGGAGGCGTCGACAAGCCAGAAGATGACGAATGGGTTGGAGTTCTTCCTCCCCCAGAAGAAGACCAAGGACTTTCGGAGCCCCCAGTAATCGAGAGACGCTTCGTTGGCGAGGAGAAAACTGAGGACGACGCCCCCGGTGATGAGGCACCCAAAGAGGATGAAGGATTCCAGCAGCCATACAAGGAACGACAAATTACTAGAGACGAGATGGGTGAAGAACCAGACTTTGCTCACTACAAGACCAACGTTGCGGAACGCCTGTGGAGAGCAAACAAAGCAGCCAACAATGAGGGGCTCACAGCTAGTCCAGATATGGTGCCTATGGCGCGAGAGTACCAAGAGTGGCGGCAAAAAATGGCCCTTTTAAACAGATACATTGCCGATTATCAATCGGCGATGCAAGAAGTGTCGGAGAAACGGAATAAGGTAAGCAATTTATCTTTTTTTGATCATTCGGCCGCACCGTGATGACTATTTGTTGAACTGAAGAGTGTTCGAAGTTGTTTAATCTTCACTGATCATTTTTTTTATTCTTTCGTCATCACTCTTGACATCATTTTCAAAAACGAAAATTGACTCGTTAAAGCTTATTGAGCATTACGCACTTTTGACCAAAGATACCCCGCTGTGGAGCCATGTTGGACAGCCTTTGACTCCAGAACAGTTGGCTGCCGTTGCAGAAGATGAAGATGCGGAGCCAGCCGAGGACGTTGAAACGCGAACAAAAGCAATCGCACAGGTTGCCGAGGATATTGGGCCCGGAACTCTAATGGCATACCAACAGCTAACAAGAATGCACGATGAATTGAACCAAAAGGATTATCAAACACATATTGCGGCATACATAGATGAGTGGGACGAAGTGGTAACATCGAAATTGGACAAAGATGTGAAGGCAGTTCACGACCTCGGAAAAAAGCGAGAATATTATATTAATAAAGTTGATAAGCTCCGTGAGAAAGTCAACATAATTGAACGGAAAGGAAAACAGCTTGCACCGAAAAAATTAGCGGATCAATTAGATCGCAATGAGAAAAAACTTCTCGATGCTGATAAAGCTTACGAGAGAAAGGCCAACGATGTAAGTGTATCGTTGTTTGAAGCCACCAGAAGAAGCTGGGTTGACTTGTACCCGGTCATGAAGAACGTGATGAAGTTTGAGATCAATCGAATCGGTCGAGAAAGTTCAACGTATGGCAATTATCACGCCACTTTGGCTGCGTTGAAAAATGATTACAAGGTAGCAACGGCGAATACTGTGGACGCTCCAAACGCTGGAAGTGCTTTATAGATCGCGAATCACTGTGGCACAAACTCGCACAAAACCACCAACGCACACAACCTATATACAACCAGATTAGTTAAATTCGTAATAGTCGATCGGTAATGAATGTTTTTTAAAAAGTCTCCCGGCAAACTGCAGTTTTACGAAACTATGCTCTGATAACATAGATAAGGCGATAAGTTCATGATCTAGGTAAACGCCGAAATTCCTCTGTCATCCCGTAGATGGCTGAGCCTCGCTCCTCGGAATCCCGATGAACCTTGATAGCACCGTACGTACTTCTTTGACTTTCTCACAACTAATCTGCGCTGACCATGTCTTTCAGCCGTGGGTCCGCCGATTCGTGTTATTCAATCGATCAGCTAATACTYGTTTTTGACAAGAAATGAAAACACATGTTTCGTGTATTTTTCAAGTCATAGTGTATTGGTTCCAAAACAACAATTTGAGGCACAAAATCCTCATTGAGTTGATGCTATTAATGCAATTAATATCTATATGTATCTTTTAATCCTTCTTCATGACCTCCCTCAATCGAGCACAGGCCTCGATGACGGAATCTCTAGGGGCGAATGCACTCAATCGCAAAAAACCTTCGCCTCCGGGTCCGAATCCGGCTCCAGGAATGGTGACAACCTGTGCCTTTTCCAAGATCATGCTGAAGGCGTCCCACGATCCACCAATCTCTTCTGGCAACTCAACAAATACGTAAGGAGCATCGGTTCCTCCGTGAACAACGTATCCGATTTCTTCGAAGGTGTCTCTCAAGATCTTAGCATTTTCCAAGTAGTAATCGATTAGTGTGTTGATCTCCTTTTGTCCCTCTTCGTCCAAGCAAGCAAGACCTCCAGCTTGGACAATATTCGAAGCACCATTGAAAGCTGTTGTCATAACACGGTTGAAATCATCACGGACCAAGCTACCGTCCTTGAATTTCAGGCCGGAAGGAACAACGGTCCATCCAAGACGAACACCGGTGAATCCGGCGTATTTGGAAAAGGAGTTGACTTCGATGGCAACGTCCTTAGCCCCTTCGATTTCGAAAATAGATTTAGGGACATTTTCGGATCGAATGAATGGAGCGTATGCTGCATCGAAGACAAGGATGGATCCTCGTTCCTTGCACAATTTTACCATMTCCGTCAATTGTTCCTTGGTTGCGGCGGCACCAGTAGGGTTGCTAACGAAAAAATTAGGGGGAAATTCAAGTTGATAAGCATGGTGTTGTTAGCACAAAGATGTTGGCAAACGTGGATCCGGTTCGTAAAAAGAAGTAAGATATGTGTATAAAACGAAACGACAACTTACTTGGGGGAGCACAGGTAGACGACATCGGCTCTGGGGAGATTGGCGTAGTCAGGGAAAAAACCATTTTCGGGACCACACTTCATGTAGACAATGTTGTCGTATTGCATGGTCTCGGGGTTTTGGACTCCGGTCTGCCCCATCATGACGGAAGTGTCGACGTAGACAGGGTAAGAAGGGTCCTGGACGGCACTGACAACCTTGGAGCCGAACATCTGTTGCACACGCATGATATCGCATTTGGCACCGTCACTGACGAAGACCTCGGACGCATCGATGAGGTCGTTGTAGAGAACCTTAGCGATCTTTTCTCGCAAGAGACCTTGCCCTTGTTCGGCACCGTATCCACTGTAACCTTCGGCGGTACCAAGCTTCTTGGCTCCTTCAACCAATCCGTTCAAAATGTGCGGAGGGATGGGCATGGTAGTGTCACCAATTCCAAGGGAGATGATGCGGTCCGCCATCTCGGGGTTTTCCTCGAGGTAGGCATTTCGGCGGCGTCCAATTTCTGGGAAAAGGTAACCACCGGCCAATTTGGCAAAGTTTTCGTTGCGTTCGACCTGGGAAACACCAACCTCTTCTGCGGTGGAGAATCGAGCGGTGCTGACTCCCTGTCGTGCTTGGGGAGCGAAGGCGGTCGAGGAAGCTGCGAATGCAGCGATGGCACAGACAATGGATGAAGTGAATCTCATGGTTGCAGTACTGTTATTGCTTCAAAATATGATACGAGATGGAGTCTCAGGGAAAACGTGATTGCCGCTTGAATTGATGTTCTGTGTAAGCAAAGTATTTCGTGGCGTTGGCATGCCGGTAGAACCAATCGCCGACGCAGCTGTGCTCTTGCATCAGTTCCGGAGCAGATGTACGGAGATCGATTCCGTGCATAGCGCGTGTGACCGCGAGGATATTAGTCACGAGAAACCGTGAACACTGAACTTTCATATCTTCTCGCACTTTCGACCAAGATACCTGTTCTCATACAGTACAACGTTGTACAAGTTCACTGCTGGCATGACAAAAATAAATTGTGTGGACACGGACGTCACTACAACATTTTTGAATTTTGTTTGGATGGAATCTTCATCCACGACTGAGATTATTTTCGATCGAGCTAGTCTTCGTCAGTCGGCTTTTTTTCGTTGATCGCACTCCATTTGTATCTTCGTCGGTGGCAAACGGTTTCTTTTGCCAAAAAGGATAATGAATCATTTGTATTTGACACTTTGCATTACATGCAACATCTGTGACGGTCTATTCGTTGTTGTCGTGCTAATGATAATCAATTCATTGATATCAGCTTTGTTCCACGCTACTGTGTGAATACCTTTATCATATCGCTTTCAAGAACAAGTAGAAAATTACCGGTAACGCAATCCTTTTTCTTCGTTTAATTAAGCTAGTATACAGTTGTATCTACCGAGTCGATACCATTCCCACTAGACAGCAAGTTGTGCCATTTGCACCACAGGTATTGTCTGTTGGCATTCATTCTTTTGTTCGTTATTTTGTGTGGCATAACTGCGTTTGTACCAATCCACGGTTCGTTTGATTCCATCTTCAAACGACACCTTTGACTTGTAGCCAAGCAAGTGTTTGGCTTTCGCGACATCGGCACACGTGTACGGGACGTCACCGGGTTGATCGGGGAGGACCTTGATGATCGCCTTCTTGCCGACGTATTTTTGTACCAAGCCAATGAATTTCTTCAGTGATGTACCATCGCCCTTTCCGAGGTTGAAGATCTGGTAGTCGTAAGGGCGATCGATCGCACGGACTACACCATCGACAATGTCGGAAATGTATGTGTAGTCACGACTCGAGGAGCCGTCGCCGAATTGTTGCATCTCGACGCCACGATAGATACGATCTGTGAACTTGAATGGGGCCATATCCGGTCGTCCGCGCGGACCGTACACGGTGAAAAATCGTAAGCCAGTTACCTTCAGATTGTATAAGTGGTGGTAGGTATAACCCAAAAGCTCGCATGCTTTTTTGGTGGCGGCATAAGGGCTTACCGGATGATCGACAACCTCGTCTTCGGAGAAAAAGGTGGATTTCGAGCCCCCGTATACAGATGAGGAAGAGGCGAAGACAAAATTTTGTATGCCATGCTTGTGCGACAGTTCCATTAGATGGGTTGTAGCGTTGATGTTCGAGTGAATGTAGACAAAAGGATCTTGAATCGAAGGACGGACACCCGCACGTGCAGCCATGTGGCAAACCCATTTGATGTTTTCTGTTTCGAATATTCTTTCTAAAAGATCTCTGTCGCATATGTCACCGCGGTAAATCGTTACTCGACCCTCTTCTGGATAGGATTCTTTAAGAAGCTTGAGGTTCGATTCTTTTATGTTCACGTCGTAGTAGTGATTCATTTCGTCAATGATCACAACATCATCTCCACGAGCGAGAAGGTATTCCGACACATGGCTGCCGATGAAGCCAGCTCCACCGGTGACAAGCACCTTCTTGTATCCAACATGAGGTTCAACAAGCTCGGTGTCCATCCAGGATCGAACCGACTCGGATGCAACAGAGGAAGCGGGCGAAGGCGGGAACGATCCTCCAAGAGATGATGCAACAGTTGTAACATCGCTCATGTCCCCAACAGATTGGTTCTTGGTAATGTTTGAGGTATTCATGGTAAATTGGCTTAGTTTTGAAAAATTGACAATCTAGAGTGTGCGATTGAGTGATGTGCAAAAATAAAGTGACTCCTTCTTCTTTCTTATCCAAAAAAGGACAAATCGTCTGACTAGAAGAATCATCATCCTTTTTTCAAACATTTCATCCCTGCATGGCAATTGAGCAAGCATTGGTGATGTTTTCGATACCTTTTTCTAATCAGACCTCTCGATCTCAGATTCACTGAGATGGCAAATTCTAAGAAAGCATTCTGACTCGACAGATTTCATTGGTGCGACTACGTACACATACAGTAGCTTAAGGGGGGGGATGACTGAATCAAGAATGAAGAGGTCGAGTTTCATCGAAGATCAGGTGACGTGAAGCCAATTTTTCTTCAAATCCTATTCGTACGGTACAAATTGTACGAAGTACGTACGTGCCATGGTCGTGTTCTGTACCGAATTTCGACGCGTGTCTTCCACTGACTCACGAATGATCAGAAAGCTACGGCAAGTACGAAGTACGATACAGGAGTACACTTCCTACGAGATATTACAGGAGTAACTTCTAAAACATACCGTACAGTAAAGCAATTTTGACCTCTCATCACGATACGATTTTTTTTTCTGAATGACTCACTCAGTCCCACTCATGCACAAAAAGTATTCTTCTACTACGCGTTTCATAACAATTGAATACGGGGCTCGCCAGAGAGCAAAAAGTTACGAGACCAATCCACATTGCCGTAAAACTCTCATTCGACAACAATATTTACCAAGCTTMTCATGAAAACCGATACTTTTACACAAAAAAAATATAAAATATCACTTGATGAGGACAACCATTCCATAAAATTTATTTTGATTCAGATCAAAACATCTTTTATTCCAAATAGTTTTCCTTCCAAAACTTTCAAGCTCAAGCCTACTTTTCAATATGCCATCAACACCAACAAGAAGCAGATCTAGATCACCCCAAGGTAGCCGTCCTTTCCATCCAAAGGTCACCTACTAGTACCTCGATGTTGTTTTCCTGGATCGTCAACTTTACCCCAACCTTACCACCAAAATGAACAAATAGTGCAGCCATCCAATGTATTCCTTGCAGCACAGGTGGGACCTGGGGTTGCACCTCTTCCTGCAGGTGATGTATACTAGACAGAGGGGGGGGGGAGACCACTCCTCCTCTGCATCATCACAGACAACTTCTTGCCATTCCATGTCACCATGACACTAATGCAAGCTTTGTTGACAGCATTTGACTGTTATCAGTCTTGACATCCTAAGATGAAACCCACCAAATGACTCTTCAATGTTGGAGATAACCATGAATGATACTTCCAGCAGTGGTACTATCTCCTCTCCTCTTGGGTGGACTTGTGTCTTGTACTTGTTCAAAGAATTGTACAACATTCCTCACACAAGGAGATTGATGCAGAGTGACATTGTTGTTCCATTCTTCTTCATGGTCATTGTTGTGTGCTTTTTCATCACCATCTAAAGACATGTGTGTACCAGCAGGATGAATTTTAGTAGTAGTAGGACTCATGAGGACTAAGAAGGAGTCCGGGAGAAGATGTTCCAATTCATCCTGCAAATCAGAGAGGTCACAGTCAATGAGGAGTTCTTCAATTTTGTTGTCAAAGGGAGCTTTGTTGTAGTAGTAAGGGGCATCATCAGAAAGACTTGTTCCGTGAGAACTGTTACTAGCTACTAGTAGTATCACCACTGAAAACACTGCTGTCATCTTGGGAGGGGCTCTTACTGTGAGGGTGCAGGCCACCACCACTGTTGTCAGATAGGTCTGCATCACTAGTAGTATGACCATAGTATTAACAATTATCAACCATCAGAAAAAGAATCATCACCATCAATTGTGGTGATATGATTATTTTATGTTGTTGGTAAAAATGATGGTTTGGATGATAGTTTTATATTCTTGTTTGGAGTGTCTTATATTTTCTTGCTTGGATATTACAATGAGACAAATGAATGAGCAGAAAAGGTGTTTCATACAAAGTAATTTGGTATTTCAGTCTTATTCTGTGTAGGATTTGACTGCAGTCTGCACAGGTGAAAATCATGCAAACTCAAAAAAAATCCAAAAATGCATGATTTGGTCGGAGACAGGAAAAAGTTAAACGCATAGCACTTGATGAAATTATAGTATGTAGCCTTTCCTTTATTAACCTCTTTATCAATGTCCTTCAGTAGCAATCTCCCGTCAGTGGTTCCTTCAGTGAATAGTCACTGGTGACGTGCAGCACCAGCACCATCTTTGCACCACTTTTCAAGATACAACAAGGCAAGCCCCACCAGTACAATGCAAGAGCAATGATCCATGGATCCAAGCAAGATCTGTTTGGGACAGTTCCTTTCAACTCTCACATTCTAAGACCATTTCATCTTTGCTGTAAGGAATTGAGGGAACTCAGTAGATTGTTTGAGGCTATCCTTTCTGCAGTGTCATCATTATGATCCCTAATGAGGTGCAACTGAAACTTGATCATTGCTAAGTATTGAAGTCTTTTAATTGGATGTACATGGTTCCCCATTAGCTCTAGTGTTTGCAAGAACTGATTCTTGGTGAGTGGTTGATCCATGCTGCTTGCCTGTCCAAGACCACTACTAGTTTCCTTTCTTTTAATCACTGCTGAGGAAATCAGATTGTTAACTTGCTGCAACTTGGTAGGATTGCCACTTCCAACGCCAGCAACAACAGTCCACTTGTGCAGCTTGTTGGGCATGAAGTATGATATTGCTTTCTTGTAGTATATTAGAGATGCTGATCTACCATGAGAAGTATTATCATCAACATCTGAATCTGGTCTTCCAAATGCTTTCATTGCAAAGAACTTGAAAATATGATCTGGTGTGATAAAACTGAGCTCTTCTGGAGTAAATAGCCTTTAGCAAGCCCAGGGACAATGCCCTACTGCTGCTTGTTGTGCTGTTACCATTTGCTTCTTCTTGTTGCTCCTAGTTAACAGGAGTAGTAGTTTCTTTACTTGTACTCATGTTCATACTAGTATGATTACAATTTGAGCTTGTGTATGTGTTATTTTGTGAGCATGTAATGCTTGAATTTACACCTCTCCTTGTGAATTACTAGTAGTAAGAGGGAGGAGTTGCAAAATGGTTGTAGTTTACATAGATTTTGTAGATTTTTTGGCAACCAGAAGAGGTACAGAAGTGACCACAAAAAAGCTAATACAGTTGTTGTAGTGTAGAATTCCTACCACAAAATATGTAGCATGTGTAAGTACAGTGGTAAATGGAGTACAACCAATTAGTATATTGTAGCCTACCTATAATCCTACGGGGTATTTTAAGTATTAGGGGACTTGCCTGACCGTTTTGAGACATCAGTTACAAAAATTTGGTACTGGTACTATACCTGAATCCCAAAGCCAATATATGAATGACTTCCTTGAGTAATGGGTGATTTCCATTATTATTGTACAGGCTTGGCTCGCAGATGTATGAACCAGTTGTATATTTTGCTCTATCTTTTCCCTGAGTAAAATATGTTGAGCGCACCTTTTGACATCATGAAATCTTGTCCAAATAATACAACATTTTTTCTATGGAATTTTTGTCATGATGTCAATCAAGGTGTCAGAAATACATTCTTGATGAACATATTGACCTAAAAAGACCATCCAATGTTGCACCAATACTGATCCTTCATGATGTTGCTAGCAACAAGGCAACTTGTTGTCAATTGTTGGACACAGAGGAGTCCTCGCAACCATGTATTGAAGCTACCATTATCCCATTAAAAGTGCTTCTCCTTCTGACAATCAACATCTATTTGCCCCCCCCCCCCATTGACACTGCAGCAGCATTGTCAGTATTAAGCAGCAGTATGTCTCAAGCAACAATCCTATTCACAGCAACACTAATCAACACCAACACTAACMAGCAAGAAGCTATCAATGCAAGCTACCAATGACAACCAATCAAGGGTATCACCATCAACAACAAAAACAAGAATGAACAACAACAAATTGAATTGACGTCTTATCAGCAACACTTATTAGCACAAAGCTATCAAGGC